TTTCCAAGGGGGAGAATTGCAAACAAACGGGCCCTAAAGCATGCTAATCCATTCTGGCTTAATTTAAAAGTACTAATTAAATAAAACATGACCATTGTGGAGTCACTTCTCATGAAAGCCGTGTGAACTAAAAAGATTCGCATGGCCATTCTCCTAAATTAATAATAGTAAAAGAGTGGTACAGAAAGTGTAGTATACCTGTACAATTTTCAGCAGACGGTAGAAACCTTGTCTTCATAACTGCAAGCTTGGCTCATGGGATCTCAGACCTGTCTGCTATCAACCAGCATGTACAACAAAGAGAAATGCTTCAAGATCTCTATTGAGTATCAATTTGCATACACGTATAGATTTCACAAAGTGTGCACATGCACATATCTTGATCAAAACATTTTCCACAATACACACTTTTTATGATCAAATCTTACTAAATCATTCCCTTGAATCTCATCTTTTGCCAATATAAGCTGCAAAAGGGCACCACTCAAATATATGCTCAAAAGAGTTCAAGAGTCACCCAGTATGTCCGGTCCAATCCAAATCAATGCATGTTGCCAATGATAGACCAAATTCATGCTGAAAACGAGAATCGTAAAAATAAAGATAGAAATACTAAACCATATCGCCTACAAAGCTACAAGTCTCACAGCGAACTATCTGAAATAGCAGACCTATATAACATATGAGCAAGCCTGTCTTTGAGTAAACCACATATGTACTATTAACATTTGCATTGAGAAAGAGATGACTGGTATAATATATTTCAAATTCTCCTCTCAGTCGCTCCAATTCCTTCAGCTACAAAAATAAAGAGAGAAATTAGGGGAAAATCGCTGAATGTTGATCACGTTTGAGGCCGTGAACCCAAGGTAATATGTTACCTCTCAATATGTTAGTTACAATATAATTCCATCAAAAATAAAGAAAATCTTGGTCCGAAGACTTCAACTCTGAAACAGTCTGCTTAGTTAGCAAACCTCCCTCCACAGGGTATATATTTTGTGCATAAAAACCGAGGAACAACACCCATTAGAAAGCAGCACCAACTCCGAACACCAGAAAGCTAACATACTAGATACCTTGTTCACTAAATGGATGTAGAGGTATAATTCAAAAGCCTGAACAGCCTGAATCCAGTTTTGCAGAAATCTACCTCAAGAAATGACCAATAATATGCATATTCATCAATTTGCTGGTGTCCAGTTTCTCAACACTCTAGTAGATCATCCCAGAAAAAAAATGTCTGAATTACATGCATATCCAGATTTTAAATCAGAGTGGTTACCTTAATAATTATCGCCCTTTCTACACAATTTCAAGGAATGTATCAAAATCACATTATTCTAGCAACAACATTCCATATATTTCCACTACAAAACTGTTTTTCGACTACATTCATGTAAGATACTTCTCCTTGGAAAGGCAAGATCAAACAATCATCTTGTGTTTGTCCATGTCTTCCATTGTCTTCCAAAAAATCTTTCTTGATAAGTTACTTTGGATTGTACTCCGCCTCAAAGTAGTTCTAACCCGTGTTATCAATGAGTCATGTGCGATGCAGTGAGCAAAGTGTCTTTATGTGAGCATGTGCAAGGCGTAATGCGATGCACACACCCAAGTAAAGCGAGACGCACACCACACATAATTTTTCATGGTGGATAATCAAGCATGAAAAAATATTTATGAATTTTCACATAAAAATGTGTCATGATAAATAACATCTACTACCAAATCACAAAATAAGGTCTTAATTCATAATGCTAACACATCCAACATAGTAGTAAAGGCTCATAATTTTCCAAATCAAATCAAGACTAACATTGAAGCGAAATCTAATGGAAAAGAGAGCAAGTTAGGTTCCTCAATCGGGGTAGTAAAATGGCCTAATGGATTTATTCTTCTTTTTGAGATATGGATTATTGGGAACAAAATCTAATTGAAATGCTAAAGAACGAAAATATATGAGGCTATGTCTTGCATGCGCCTAGTGAGAAGTGCACTCGCGCAGGCGCTTGCGAGTCGCAAAAAGGCAATGCCGAGTCAGATGCAGGGCACTTTGCACCGCTTCACATTGCAAGGTGCATGATGCGCAAATGTCACTCCAACATGCTCATTTACTTATATTGTTTGCCTAAGTAATGCATTTTTTTTCACCAAGTGCTACTAACAAAGTTAAACACACTACAACACACCCTAGTCTTCATGTTCCAAGTTCCCACTTTGTAATTAGACTCATATCTTGCCTCAATTGAGTTCCCATCGATGGCTGATGTTAGGATGATAACGGGCCATAAAAATTAAGTTAATGCTTCTCTGGGACTTGCTCCCTCATAATCATGCCTCACAGGATGTGATGCCACTTATGCTCCAATATCCCAATAGATGCATGGACAAACAAGATGCAGTCAGAAGGTTAAAAAAGTTAGAAACTAAGTGGGAGTTCTCCAAATAACTCCTTAACCAACTTTTCAAGCACCAAGTTTGATGAAAAAATTTCTGTAAATGGTCCATTGAAAATTCAGCTTGAAGAAAATCCTAGCAGGTAGCTTACTGGATGTTCTAGAGTCATAACTCAGAGCAGGAGACAGGTGCACCGCTTAGGAAGGGAAGAAGCACATAAATAAGCCTCTAAACCCACTGTTTAGGCATCATCCTGTAAACTTTTGCCTGTATGTAACATAACTTCAAGAAAAATAAGCCCTACATCTGAGCCCTTTAAGTATATCTGAAACAAGTGGCGCCTAAGAACTCCAAGTGACATGGAAATAATTAAGCCCTGGATCCTAATTTTCTAAGTCTTACAGTAAGACCCAAATACAACTTCTGAATCTCACACCTAACACTCAAATAAAAAACTCAAAGCATATGCTCTAGAAAGTTTACCATTGAAAGAGAATATAAAGGGAAATAAAGTTGGCCTCGAGTCAACATCAATTAGTTTGATAGACCAAATTGATTGCATATGAATTAATAACTTAATTTCCACATTACCAATGCAGTCAAGTAATTCAACATATGAATGAGCAAAAAAAAAAAGGCATATACAGATAAGTGGCTAAATCTGAGGGACAACAGTCGTATTTTCCGGATTTGTATGTAAACAGAAAAATGACAAAGAACGTCCATAAGCTATTCTTCCATCGCGCCAATAAAGCAATTTACATGGAAAACCCACATGGCTGTTAAGTATATATTTCTATTCACAAGGGTCTAAATTCTGAATCAGGACTTTTGATAATATTCTGAGGGACAACAGTTGTATTTTCCGGATTTGTATGTAAACAAGTGTATCTATTCAAATATTCACTGACAAAACTGCCCGCAAACTGGTATAACATGTCGAGATTTGACTTAACATGGTTTTGCCATAAGATCTTCCAAATATATTGGTATTAAATTTAAAAAAAAATTAATGTTCGCTCTATTTGCAATCTTGATTATGTCATAGAGATGTCAATGTAGTGCCTTAAATCGTATTAAAATGATCAATATGTCAAAGACACGTTACTACAGGTAGATAGCCTCCTCGAACGACACTCAATTATGTATAAATTAAAAAGCACAATTCCATCAACTATGTATAAATTAAGCGTACTACAACTAGGTACTTCAGCAATACGCCGTTCTTCAAGAAAACCCCTCTTCTATTAATTTCCAATGAAAAACCCTCAAAACTATGACAGTTATTGAAAATGATTAGTTCCTAAACAGATTTAGATTTAGAGTAGATGTTAATACTACTCTCAGTGTGTTCATCTTCAATCTTCGATCTTCTCCATCTTCTTCCCCATTAATTATTCATAACAACGCTAGAAACTCGATTCGTATACAACTATGTATGATGAGGTGGTTTTTTGTTAGTTCAACCTACTAGATGATGGGTTCCCTGGAAAAAAAAACTTATGGGTGAAACTAATTTCTCGTAATTTCCCTAAATGAAAATAAAAAAAAAACATGTTAACGAAACACAGCAAAAGGGGGAAATAATAATAATCTACGGCAAAAGAAGATAACATTCACATCAAGACCACACATAATTCTACATAAGTCAAGTCACATCACACAGGCATACACCAAGGTCAAGATATATAGTAATAATTTCATTGAAGCGGCATAAAATTCATGATGATAGTGATGACGATGATCACGACGAGATGGAAAATTACTTCTTGATGCTGCCTCGGACCCCGGGCTTAGGCTTAGCGGGATCAGGGGCGCAAGAAGCGTGGAGGTTATTGATCTTGGACTCGTCGAAGGGGATCTTTGGATGGCGAGCCTCGTGATGGATCTGCATCGATTTCACATCGGGAGCCGTGACCTTGCAGAGAGGGCACTCCAGCTTCGCGTGGCCGCCCTTGACTTGGCCGGTTCGATCGGCAACTCCGGCCTTCCGGCCTTCCCGCCGCCGCGGTTCGTCGTCGCCGCGTCGATCTTGGCGGCGATCTCCTTCGCCGTGTGCTTCTTTGGCTTCGCCTTTCCTGTCATTCTTTGGGGTTGCTTTTTTTTTCCCCTTTTCCAAGACCCTAACCCTAACCCTAAATCTAATCTTTTTTTTTTTTGCCCCTCTTTCTTATTTATTTATTTATTATCGATATGATCACTCGCAATATTGATCTCTGTCAATCATCGTCATCCCCGCGCTGATTTCAGATCACGTGGGATGCACGTGAATGTTATCCGTTTGGTTGTTGTCTAGTCGTTTTCGGGCTTGGCATTCAGGTTTGGCTACGAGCCGGGTGCATCATGGCCTGTGATATACCTGTCCATCCGGACCGGTCCGGACCGGAAATCCGGGCCCGGACCGGACAAAACCGGAACCCGGACCCAGTTTTTTTATTTTTAATTTTTTTTAAATCTTAAAAAAACAATAAAACATAAAATATACATAAAAATTATAAAAAATAATATAAAATTTTTTAATTAATTAAAATGATATAAATTACAAGTACAAAAAAATATAAAAATAAAAGATGATAAAAATAAATTTTTTATTAATAATCATGTCATTCATATATTATACATAAACAAATTGTAAGTACTTATAGAAATTACATAAACAAATTGTATTATACATAAATTTTATATATATATATATAAATTATATATATATATATATATATATATATATATATATATATATATATAATATATATTTTTATATATATGTTTATATACAGTGGTTCGGACTTTGAAGGAAAGACCTACGTCCACGAAAAGTTAATAAATTTTTACTTTAATTTAAATTAAATTACAAATATAAGAGGAAAAAAGAAAAAGAAATTGTTAATCATTAATTTTTAAGGAGGCCAAATTCCTCTAAGCTATGTTCGTCAAATTCTGCAATGAAAGGTCTTATGTAGCTATTGTGACCGTTTTTTCTGGGCATGCCGAGCCAGGTCCTGGTTAAGCACACACAATCTCCCGATGTGTGCTGGGCTGTAAGTTGTGTTTCTCCATCTCGAAAAGGATTAAATCATGCAAGTTTAATTCTGGGATTCATAATAGTTTGTTAAAGTAAAAAATAATGGGGCATAATTAAATAAAATATTTTTTTAAGCTTATACTGCCGACTTATGCAAGACTACAAGAGAGTCATTGAGTTCCTATATTGCTGGCAAATAATTCAACAATATTATTACGATGATAAAAGTAGCTAAATGAATAGTAGAATAGCGAACTAGCAAAAAGTGTTCCTAGTTGTTGCCTCAAACTTCTGCAAAAGGAAATGAACAGAAAAATTCATAAAGATTCATTATGTTATATGTTATGGCAAAGATCAGATAGATGTTGCACAT